CAGGACTTTGGCTCTGCAGATCCTGAGGCACATGCAGTGTAATTTATTATAGCCAGCTGTATCCCAGTTTACCTTTAGCTTTGATAGATCATCTTGCCAATTTACTGTGCCATCTGGTGGATTCCAGCCACCACAACTGCAGCTGTTGTCAGAATTCTCTCTATTGTGTTCTTTGCCTGGTTGGAAATTTTGGAAACACCTATTTAGATGCAAGTCTGCTTCTGTGTAATATTTTCTGTATTTATCTTCCTGTATATTTGAGTAGTAGAGACCTAAAACTCAAGCTGCCTGTTTGCTTCAAATGTTTCAAAACATCAAATATTTCCTTTTGGTTCATAAGAACATAAGAAAGGCCATACTAGGTCAGACCAAAGGTCTATCTAGCCCTGTATCCTGTCTTCCGACAGTGCCAATGCCAGGTGCCTCAGAGACAATGAACAGAACAGGTAATCATCAAGTGATCCATTCCTTGTCGCCCATTTCCAGCTTCTGGAAAACAGAGGCTAAGGACACCATCCCTGCCCATTCTGGCTAATAGCCATTGATGGACCTATCCTACATGAATTTATCTAGTTCTTTTTTGAACCCTGTTATAGTCTTGGCCTTCACAACATCCTCTGGCAAGGAGTTCCACAGGTTGACTGTGAATTGTGTGAAAAAATACTTCCTTTTGTTTGTTTTAAACCTGCTGCCTATTAATTTCATTTGGTGACCCCTTGTTCTTGTGTTATGAGAAGGAGTAAATAACACTTCTTTATTTACTTTCTCCACACCAGTCATGATTTTATAGACCTCTATCATATCTCCCCTTATTCATCTCTTTTCCAAGCTGAAAAGTCCCAGTCTTATTAAGCTCTCCTCATATGGCAGCCGTTCCATGCCCTTAATAATTTTTGTTGCCCCTTTCCAATTCCAATATATCTTTTTTGAGATATGGCGCCCACATCTGCACACAGTAGATGTGGGCGTACCATGGATTTCTATAGAGGCAATATGATATTTTCTGTCTTATTATCTATCACTTTCTTAATGATTCCCAACATTCTGTTAGCTTTTTTGACTACCACTGCACATTGGGTGGATGTTTTCAGAGAACTATCCACAATGACTCTTTGAGTGGTAAAAGCTAATTTAGATCCCATCATTTTATATGTATAGTTGGGATTATGTTTTCCAATGTACATTACTTTGCATTTATCAACATTGAATTTCATCTGCCATTTTGTTGCCCAGTCACCCAGTTTTGAGAGATCATTTTGTAGTTCATTGCAGTCTGCCTTAACTATCTTGAGTAGTTTTGTATCATCTGCAAATTGTGCCACCTCACTGTTTACCCCTTTTTCCAGATCATTTATGAATATGTTGAATAGGATTGGGACCAGTACGGACCCGTGGGGGACACCACTATTTACCTCTCTCCATTCCGAAAACTGAACATTTATTCCTACCCTTTGTTTTCTGTCTTTTAACCAGTTACCAATCCATGAGAGGACCTTCCCTCTTATCCCATAACTGCTTACTTTGCTTAAGAGCCTTTGGTGAGGGATCTTGTCAAAGCCTTTCTGAAAATCTAAATATGCTATATCCACTATATCCTTGTTCACATGCTTGTTGACCTCCTCAAAGACTTCTAGTAGATTGGTGAGGCATGATTTCCCTTTACAAAAACCATGTTGACTCTTCCCCAACAAATTATGTTCATCTATGTGTCTGACAATTCTGTTCTTTACTATCGTTTCAACCAGTTTGCCTGGGACTGAAGTCAGGTTTACCAGCCTATAATTGCTGGGGTCACCTCTGGAGCCCTTTTTAAAAATTGGCATCACATTTGCTATCCTCCAGTCATTTGGTACAGAAGCTGATTTAAATTATAGGTTACAGACTATGGTTAGTAGTCCTGCAATTTCACATTTGAGTTCCTTCACAACTCTTGTGTGAATACCATCTGGTCCTGGTGACTTATTACTGTTTAGTTTATCAATTTGTTCCAAAACCTCCTCTAATGACACCTCAATCTGGGACAGTTCCTCAGATTTGTCACCTAAAAAGAATGGCTCAGGTTTGGGAATCTCCCTCACATCCTCTCAACCATGAAGACCAATGCACAGAATTCATTTAGTTTCTCCGCAATGACCTTATCGTCCTTGAGTGCTCCTTTAGCATCTCAATCGTCCAGTGGCCCTGCTGGTTGTTTAGCAGACTTTCTGCTTCTGATGTACTTAAAATTTTTTTTGCTATTACTTTTTGAATCTTTGGCTAGCTGTTCTTCAAATTCTTTTTTGGCCTTCCTAATTATATTTTTACACTTCATTTTAAAGAGTTTATGCTCCTTTCTATTTTCCTCACTAGGATTTAACTTCCACTTTTTAAAGGATGCCTTTTTGCCTCTCACTGCTTCTCTTATTTTGTTGTTTAGCCACGGTGGCTCTTTTTTGGTTCTCTATGTTTTTTTAATTTGGGGTATACATTGAAGTTGAGCCTCTATTATGGTGTCTTAAAAAAGTTTCCATGCAGCTTGCAGGGATTTCACTTTTGGCTCTGTACCTTTTAATTTCTGTTTAACTAACTGCCTCATTTCTTGTGTAGTTCCCCTTTCTGAAATTAAATGTTACAAGTTGGGCCTCTGTGGTGTTTCCCCCGTCACAGGGATGTTAAATTTAATTATATTATGGTCACTATTACCAAGCGGTCCAGCTCTATTCACCTCTTGGACCAGATCCTGTGCTCCACTTAGGACTAAATCAAGAATTGCCTCTCCTCTTCTGTGTTCCAGGACTAGCTGCTCCAAGAAGCAGTCATTTAAGGTGTCAAGAAACTTTATCTCTGCATCCCGTCCTAAGGTGATATGTACTCAGTCAATATGGGGATCGTTGAAATCCCCCACTATTATTGAGTTTTTTATTTTAATAGCCTCTCTAATCTCCCTGAGCATTTCACAGTCACTATCACAATCCTGGTCAGGTGGTCGGTAATATATCCCTACTCTATATTCTTATTATTCGAGCATGGAATTACTATCCATAGAGATTTTATGGTACAGTTTGGTTCATTTAAGATTTTTACTTCATTTGATTCTATGCTTTCTTTCACATATAGTGCCACTCCCCTACCAGCATGGCCTGTTCTGTCCTTCCGATATATTTTGTACCCTGGCATTATTGTGTCCCATTGATTATACTCATTCCACCGAGTTTCTGTGATGCCTATTATATTAATATCCTCATTTAATACGAGACACTCTAGTTCACCCATTTTATTATTTAGATTTCTAGCATTGATATTTAAGCACTTTAAAAGGTTGTCACTTTTTAGCTGTCTCCCTTTACATGATGTAATTGAATGAGACTTTTTTTCATTTGACTGTTTCACATCAGATCCTACCTGTATTTTATCATCTTCCATACTCTCCTCTTTACTAGGACATAGAGAATCTCCATTTGTAGATCCTCCCCTAAGGGATGTCTCTGTCCAAACCACATGCTCCTCTGCACCTGTCGGCTTTCCCCCAGCCTATCAAATCCTACTTCTCCTGTACTGAAGCGAGTGTGTAGTGATGGCTACTTGATTATTTCCACAATCACACTTTCACAATTCTCCATTGGATAAAAACAAAACATCTTTGTCTTTGTCTTTCAATATTTCCTGTGTACATAGTAACTTTGTGTGTTCCAAGCCTAGAGTAGTGGACAGAACAATCTTTCTATAGAAGACAAGAGGTAACATTTTCAAACTTGGATACCTTGTTAGGCTCTTAACTCCATACGAAGGCTCCTGAATAAAAAAAACTGATTCTCAAAGGTGCAGAGCACCTTCAATTGACTTAGAATACAGTTGTGGCGGTGTAGCAACTCTTCAAAGCAAGCCTGTAAACTCTCTAGGCCTCACTTTCCCCATCTGTAAAGTGGATATAATAATGCTTACTATCCCTTGTAAAGTGCTTTGAGATCTATGGATAAAGAGTGCTGTATATTTGCTGTTATCTACAGAAGCATCCTGAGGGGATGACTCAATTTAGGCAATACAGGGCCCTAGGCACACTACGAGATGGGGCCTTCAGTGGCCCGGCCCCCGCTTGGAGTGGCTGTGAGGTCTTTTCTCCTCCCAACCTCTCATCTCAGGAGTGGCAATAGGAGCCTACCCCCCCTGTGGAGCCGCAGGCATCTGTCTTCCGGGGGAAGGGGTGTGTGAGTTGGGCCACCGCATGCTTCTCACCACACACAAAATCCAATGATGGATAGAATTGACGGGTTCTCCAGAGCAGTGGGTCTTGGAGTTAAACAACCCCCCCCACCGCTCATACCAATGAGATGCATGGGGCAGTTAATATTTTTGAGCTATTGCATCAGGTTTTCTGCTGACTCAGGCAGACCACAGCTGCACGGGTCACGTTTTCAAGTTTCGTCATTTCACAACCATGAAAAGAAAGCTGAGCTTGTGCCTCCAGGAGCAGGGGCCTGCGGCATGGCCCTAAGCCTGAGCTAGATCCTCCTTGGATGTGGAAGTAACAAGGCTTGGACCCGAGAGCACTGCCTTTAAATGTCCACCCCCGCAATAGGTCGGGTACAATACGGGGACCCTCAGTCCCCTAGGCTCATCTGCAGTTCGGACCAAAGCCAGGCCCTAAAGGAGAAGTGGGGGTTGCAGCAGAAGGCCCCCGGGGTGGGTAGGGGCAGCCAGGTTTTAGCGGCCCTGGGCATCCCCAGCTCCACCCAACGCCAGCTCAGGGGCACCCAGGGGCTGCAGGGACAGGAGCTGGGGTGAAGGCTGAGAGCAGGAATAAGGCGGGGGGGGGGACACAGGGCAGGCAGGGGCCAGCTGGGAACAACCCGGAGGGACGGGGCAGGTCGGGGGGAGGAGCCCTGGAGCGGGGGGAGGGACGGGTTTGGCCCCCTGCCCACCGCCGGTGGGCGCGGCGAGCGAGACGCGGGCCAGGCCTGCGCTGCGCTCGGGGATCGTTTGCTCTGGCCTGGCAGCGGCAGGCCGGGCCGGGCGCGGGGCCGGGCGCGGGGCCGGGCGGGAGACGGATGGAGCCGCAGCAGCAGGCGGAGGCGGCGGGGTCCCCGCGCCACGCGCCGGAGGGGGCCGCCCCGGCCGGGATCTCCCTGCACGATTTCTGCGGGCGCGCGGGCGAGCAGCTCGTGCACTTCCACGCCATGCGGCTGCGGGACTCGCTCTTCCTCTGGGTGGGGGCGGAGCCCGCGCTCCGCAGCCTGGCCGTGGCCATGTGCAGCCCCCACGTGAGTGCCGGGCCCCCCTCGGCTCGCTACACGGAGCTAGCGGCAGAGCCCCCCCCGTGCTCCCCACTCACCCGCCTTCCTGCCCCCGCAGCCCCGGGCTGCGCCGCCCCCCCCTTCATCCCTCCCCGCCGGGCGTTCGCACCGCGCTCAGCGCCTGGGGCACAGAGCCCCTTCCCCGCGCCCCACGGTGCTGGCAGGTGGCCCGCGGGCCCGAGCCCACTAGGAAGATGTTCGCAAAGAGGGTTTTAGCGGCTGCCACGTTTTAAGCCCTCGTGTAAACAGGCTTGATCCCCTTTGACATCGTGTGAACGGGGCCTGGCCGGTCTAGGGGGTGGCCTAGGATGGGGCGGGTTAATGCAGTTCTGAAGATGCCGACCCGGCTGGAGGTGCGAAGTTGCACAGTGGGGGCTGGCTAGGCCCCAGCGGCAAAGCCGTGCTGCTGTAGTGTAAGTGCTAGCTGCAGTGAGAGCGAGGGAAGCGGTCTGGCCATCCCTGTAGCCCTCCAGCGGCAGCAACTAGGTCTGCAGAAGAATTCATCCAAGCATGATTGACCTAGCTGTGTCTACACAGCGGGTTAGGTTGACCTAACTTGGTCACACAATGTAGACACAACTAGGGCTGTAGCAAGAGCCGCGGGGGGAGGCAGCCCCCTCCCCTCCAGTGTTTAAACATTTCCCACCTAAAACAGCTGTAGTATAGGCATTTACTACAGCAATAGAAGGGGTTCTTATGTGGCTGTATGAAATCTACCTTTCTGAGAGGCGGTACCTAGGCCTGCATGCTCTGTGCATTGTAATTAAGCCAAGCCAACCTAACTTTGGATAACCCAGCCCTAAGTTTTAGGTGTAGACCAAGGCCTGGGTAAAATTTTCAAAAGCACCTATTGAGGAGCTTAAATTCCATTACTTTCAATTAGACTTACTTTTAATAATGGGATGTAGGCTCCTACGTGATTAAATGCTTTTGAAAACGTTACCCACTATTTATTTTTCTAGTCTACACACTACCCAAGAGTTTCCATTTGAACACCTTTTCTGTCATTTATACCTTTGCTGAACTTCCCTCTCAAGAGTTGAAATTTTAGGATGAACAGTTGAGCAGCTTTTGAGAACTAAAAGAGTTTATGTAGGAGGGAGGGGTAATATTTCCTTTCATTGCAGCATTTTGTCAAATAGATGAAAGGTATAAATATGTAATTTGGCAGAGAAATGGGTAAAATTTGACAGAAAAGTGTCTTCAAGTGTTATCATGATACTTAACCCTTAGAGGATCTGGTGAAACTACAGAAGTCAATGGAAAGACTCCCATTGACTTCAGTGGGTATTGCATGAGACCATTTTTCCTCTGTAGATCTCACAGTGCGTTACAGGAGAAAGTATTATCCCCATTTTATGGATGGGGAAAACTGAGGCACAGAATTGAAGAGAGACAACAGCCCAATGTCTCGCATCAGGCTAGTGGGCAGAGCCAGGATTAGAATCCAGGTCTCCTGACTCCCATTTTAGTGCTCTATTCAGTTGATCTGTGCTCCAGGTATTTTGATGCAAATTGGCTGGATGATTTGGCTCAGCGTAAGCCTTTGAAAATTGCACTTTGCTCATCTGTAGTAGATTTTGACAATTGCAATATATTTGACAACAGTTTGCCAGTATTCCAAAGGGGGACATAGCAGGCTGTGCCTGCATGACAATTTTGACTGTGTAGTAATTTTTTTTAGTGTATTCAAGATCTGTGCATTGAATGAGACAGGTCTGTGGAAGAGTACATCTTATTTACTGCATAGTAAGGAGCCATACCTCTTTGATAAGGGAGTAAATGGGGATTGAATTAATTGATTAATTCAAAAATGTCTGCTACAGCCAGAGATGGGACACTAGATGAGGAGGGTTCTGAGTTACTACAGTGAATTCTTTCCCAGGTGGGTCTTGCCCACATGCTCAGGGCCATCTGGCCTTAAAGTCTATGGCTGTGCGTTGTTATTTGGATTGCGGTAGCTTCTAGGAGCTCCAGGTATGCACCAAGACTCCATTGTGTTAGGAGCCCTTCATCACTTACTGCCAGTATAACACACTTTGAATGGGGCAGGACTGTGTAGGAAACTTGCCTCATAGGGTAGGTTTATACTGCGATTAAACAGCCCGAGCCCAAGTTAGCTGGCACAGGCCAGCTCTAGGTGTCTCATTGCAGTATAGACATAGCCAGACCATGCACAGTGGTACACACACTTCAAAATGTGTCCAGCGCATAAAGTTTTCTATAAGGCAGTGTTTCTTCAGCAACACAGGCTTCATAGGAGCCCATGCCTTAGTGAGGGCCCAGTTGTGCACTCCTCAATAAGTAATACTCAATTGTTTACTTCTCAGCATGAACAAGGGTTGCAGAATTGGATTCTTGTATGGGACAGAATATTTAGGTGGTGTCTACTCAAGTATTTCCAGGTTATGGAATTTTTCTTCTTTAAAAACTATATAGGAAAAACTATATATGGTATTCTTTGTGAAATAGTATTGGTGTGGGTAATTAAAGGCTATTTTAATGGATACACTGCATAAAAAATTGTAGACACCAGGGGAGATTTTCAAAAGTGCCTCAGGGATTTGGGAATACAAGTCAGTATAATTACAGATTCATTGCAAGTGTTCCTGGTGCTTTTGGAAACTCCCCTCCACCATCTTTATATAATGTAAAGGACACTGTGATTGGGTTGTTTTGGGGTTTTTTTACATGTTGGAGTTCACCGTGACATGGTAGCACACAAGTACTCAAATGATTGTAGGAAAGGTCCTCTTTCTTTACACCCAAAACAGAAAAAGTGATTATTGTTGTGACTTCTTATATGCAGCCATCTCATCGGGGAAAAAATAGCTAATTTTAGTACAGAATAAACAATTGATTCTTTGCTTTCTTTTCAGGACTCCATTCCAGTGTCTACATCACTCCTGGGAGATGCCTCTGACACCACCTCAAATTCTCTAGCCCAGCGACTAGGTGCGTTCTTGAATGGTTCAGAGATTTTATAACACACTTATACTTTTGGGAATCCTTTTTAAATTCTTTGGTTGTTTTTGCTTTCACCTCGCATCTTTGGCAATGAAGCACCTTTGTTGTCACCACAAGTTATGTTGCCTGACTTCTCAATAAGATGCCGGTTTTGTTTAATATCTTTATTAATGATCTGGAGGATGGTGTGGACTGCACTCTCAGTAAGTTTGCCGATGACACTAAACTAGGAGGCGTGGTAGATACACTAGAGGGTAGGGATCGGATACAGAGGGACCTAGACAAATTAGAGGATTGGGCCAAAAGAAACCTGATGAGGTTCAACAAGGACAAGTGCAGAGTCCTGCACTTAGGACGGAAGAATCCCATGCACAGCTACAGACTAGGGACCGAATGGCTAGGTAGCAGTTCTGTAGAAAAGGACCTAGGGTTCACAGTGGACGAGAAGCTGGATATGAGTCAACAGTGTGCTCTTGTTGCCAAGAAGGCTAACGGCATTTTGGGCTGTATAAGTAGGGGCATTGCCAGCAGATCGAGGGACGTGATCGTTCCCCTTTATTCGACATTGGTGAGGCCTCATCTGGAGTACTGTGTCCAGTTTTGGGCCCCACACTACAAGAAGGATGTGGAAAAATTGGAAAGAGTCCAGCGGAGGGCAACAAAAATGATTAGGGGTCTGGAGCGCATGACTTATGAGGAGAGGCTGAGGGAACTGGGGTTGTTTAGTCTCCAGAAGAGAAGAATGAGGGGGGATTTGATAGCAGCCTTCAACTACCTGAAGGGGGGTTCCAAAGAGGATGGAACTCGGCTGTTCTCAATGGTGGCAGATGACAGAACAAGGAGCAATGGTCTCAAGTTGCAGTGGGGGAGGTCTAGGTTGGATATTAGGAAACACTAGTTCACTAGGAGGGTGGTGAAGCACTGGAATGCGTTACCTAGGGAGGTGGTGGAGTCTCCTTCCTTGGAGGTTTTTAAGGCCCGGCTTGACAAAGCCCTGGCTGGGATGATTTAGTTGGGAATTGGTCCTGCTTTGAGCAGGGGGTTGGACTAGATGACCTCCTGAAGTCCCTTTCAACCCTGATATTCTATGATTCTATGATACATTTGTCTCATGTAGACATGAGCTTAAATATTGGCTGACCATGCTTGAAGCGTGCATTGTGTTAAAGCAAAGCATTAGTGTGAATCATCCTTGAGGAAAAGCTTTTATTCTTAATGGCTTTGGATTCTTCATGCCTAACTTTTCACATTTCTACTGCTCACCTGCTTAAAGTTAGGCATGTGCTTAAATACCTTACTGAGTCAGTGCTACTGTTCTCTACCTCTATATATCTGCAGTAGAACCTCAGTTACAAACACGTCGGAAATGGAGGTTGTTTGTAATCCTGAAATGTTCATAACTCTGAACAAAACATTACGGTTGTTTTTTCAAAAGTTGACAACTGAACATTGTCTTAATACAGCTTTGAAACTTTACTATGCAGAAGAAAAATGCTACTTTTAACCATCTTAATTTAAATGAAACAAGCACAGAAACAGTTTCCTTACCTTGCAAATCTTTTTTTAAACTTTCCCTTAACTGTTTTAGTAGTTTAACAAAGTACTGTGTTTGTTTTTTCCCCCCATCTTTGTTGTTCCCTGATTGCGTACTTCCTGTTCCAAATGAGGTGTGTGGTTGACCAGTCAGTTTGTAACTGAGGTTCTACTTTACTACAGAGTTTGAAAGGCAAAAAGCACTTGGTTTCATTGCTTGTAATAGGAGTGTTATCCTAGGAATCTCCTGGCACTGCTGCTGAGGGACATTATTGATAACAAATATAATGAGGGCTTTGCATTTCAGTAATCCCTATGCTTTGTTGAGTGATTAATATAGGACAGGAATAAACTTTCAAGGTAGGCCTCTCCCTATCCACTCCCCCCCCCCCCACTTGCATATGCACTTTTAAATATCGTTCATTGCTTCAATACAAATTCTAATGCCTGTGCATGCACAGGCATTAGACAGCTTAACGTGCATGTGCCTGCACTCTGCAGATGCAAACACCGATGCTTGCACAAATATGTGCAGAATTGTACATGCATAAATAAAAGCTACCTTTACATCCTACAGCTCTCTTCAGCCAGAAAGATCCCAAAGCACTCTAGAAATTATTGGCCCAGATTGCAGATTTAAGGAAATGGACATATGCACACAGGAATCGCCTCACCAGTGAAATGAAGCCACCTCTGGGGTGGAATGGGGCATCTGTCTAATAGCTCAGAGCAGTGCTGTAGTCCAGAAAGTGAAACCCTTAACTGAATGCTCCCCTCTACCTACGTTATAGATGAGAGCACAAGTAGTCAGAACAGCCGTGGTATGTCCATGAGCCGGGGAGCCGCAACTCTCCTCCACGTTTGTGCCCTCTCCCAATCCTACAGGAGCTTTTCTTCTCCAAGACTATTGCAATGTTGAGATTGTGAATCAGGATGCTGTGGATCTCATTGCTGGTTAACCAGCGTTTCCGCTGTGGAGAAGGACTTGCTTGCTCAGTACAGCTCAAGAGCTAGTCATGCTGTCTAGGCTAAAGGAGAGCAGGTGGGATGTGTGGAATGACATCTGCTCGGTGTGGTTATGGATCAGCCAGGTGTCAAACTACTGCTCAGATCCTCAAAGGTATTTAGGCACTGAACTCATTCATTTCAAGGGGAGTTAGGTACCTACATATCTTTGAGGATCTGGGCCTACGTTTCACTAGCTTGAGTGGCACAAAACCCTTCCAGTTCTTTGAAGTTGCAGATCTAACCCCTCTGAGGGGATGAGGAGGCAGAGTAACATCAGAGATCATTGTAGTATTTTGGGTATAAATTCCCCCCTTCTCTTCTCATTTCAAGGGAATGTAATGAGCAGCACATATATCCAGTTGACTCTGCAGGACAGTTTAGATGGGGGCAGGCTCTAACTACCCTACTGGAGTTTCGACCAGGACACGGGGGTTAACATCCCTACTCTTGCAAAAAGCGTCAAGGGACCAGTAGCATTCACAAGCGTTGGAAACTCCATTTCATGTCTCCTCCAGACGACTAAGGCCAGACATGGTGCAGAAGTAATTCAGAACTCAGTCTGTTGGTTAAAGTGGTGTGGCAATTAATTAACTTTCCGTTTAGAATTAGTACTGCAGTTATTCAATGTGAGAATTTTTAAGCATTGATGATAAAATGAGCCTTTGTACCTCAGGGGCCAATACCAAGGCAGAGATGCTTGTTTTTCAAGTTGTAGCATATTAGCGCAAGAAGCCACATCCCATTAACGTTATTGTGCGAATTGTTAAAAGGAAAATGAATCAATTTCAGAAGCAGTTCATGGGGCTCCCTCTTCTCACTGAGCCAAGAGGAAGTTGATCATTAAAGATGGCGTTGTATGAGTGCCTAGGTATTATTTTATCAAAACTAGGGAGTCTGTTTTCTATACTGTAACTTTTTTTCATGTCATCCATTCACCTGCTGATCATTGAGAGCCATCTTTCCACAGTCTGGGGATTGATTGATTTATTTTTTTTGCCACCACTGTTAGGTCTGTCATGGAAAATAACTTTTATATAATGTACATAGATCAGGTAATATGGTATCTACTTTATCATTAGATTATCCTAGAATTTTTCTACTAGGCTTTTTTGAATGTCTAATTACTTAATTCTATCCCTTCCTTCTTAAAGCATCTTTGAGCATAAGTTCTCTCTTCAGTTTAGTTTGTGTAATCTGGTAAGGAGTCCAGTATAACCTGTAATTTATCTTGAACTACATTATCTTTAAGAGCCTGATCCAAAACCAGTTGAAGTCAGTGGGAGCCTTTCCATTAACTACTGTGAACTTTGAATCAGGCCCTAACCCAGACGTGGGCAAACTACGGCCCATGGGCTACAGCCGGCCCGCAGGACCGTCCTGCCCGGCCCCTGAGTTCCCGGCCGGGGAGCCTAGAACCCAGCCCCTCCCCTGCTGTCCCCCCTTCCCCACAGCCATGCCGCCGCACGGGCTGCGCTCTGGCCCGCCGCTTCCAATGGGCAGCGCAGCTGGCTCTGGCTGGGTGTTGCGGCTGCGAGCTCCTGCTTCTGGTAAGGGAGCAGGGGAGTTGGGTAAGGGAGCGGGGGGTCCTGGAGGGCAATCAGGGAGGAGGGGGCGGTCAGGGGATGGGGAACAGGGAGGGGTGGGAGTCCCGGGGAGCCTGTCAGGGGACAGGGAGCGGGGGGCAGGTAGGGGCAGGGGTGGTTGGATAGAGGGTGGGAGTCCCGGGGGGGCTGTCAGGGGGCAGAGTTGTGGATAGGGGTTGGGGCAGTCAGGGGACAGGAGGCGGGGGTCCCGGCAGCGGGCAGGTTGGATGGGTCAGGGATTCTGAGGGGGGCAGTCAGGGGGTGGGAAGTGGGAGGGGTCGGATAGGGGGCAGGGGCCAGGCTGTTTGGGGAGGCACAGCCTTCCCTACCCAGTCCTCCATACAGTTGCGCAACCCCAATGTGGCCCTCAGGCCAAAACGTTTGCCCACCCCTGCCCTAACTTAACTGACACATCTGACACCCAGCACTCATCACTGACTGCTATCTAAGGTTTTTAGCCAACAAGCCAGACTGAGTAGGCATGTAGGTTATACTACTACTTTAGAGGTGGTTCCTCCAGGTCAGTGCATTTGTATTGTGGTATGGGAAACTTGCCTTATTTCTCTCCATAAAATGTTTGATTACTACCTGCACTAATATTGGAACAAGTAATAGATGACTGTTCTTTGTTTTGTATTTTAGCCAGGAAGACCAAAAAACAGATCTTCGTCAGCTACAATCTTCAGAATACAGACAGCAGTTTCATATTACACATAGAGAACAGAATCAAGGAAGAAATGATAGCTTTTCCAGAGAAATTCTAACGTTGCATCATTGTAAGCTACTTTGTTACTTTTTTTTAAAAGAAATAAACTGACTGGGTTTCCATATTGACAGACACTGAGTTAATATTTTGGAACTTTGTGTTGTTTTTACAAAATTGTTTGGACCAAACTTGAATAGAACTTAAAAAATGTATTTCTTCCAAACTTGAGTTCCTCTGCTGTGTTAGAGACGGGGGCTGTGGGATATGGGGAGGAATGTTGTGAGTTAAGCAAGATATTGTAAACTTGTGTATGCATGGAGCTTTGTCCTACTTGGAAATTGTAATCAGGGGAGGTTCTCTGGATTTTAGTTGCACATGTAACATACTATGTATCATAATTAGAGCAAGAGAAAACAAATCTCTTCTAGTGCTTCTGTGAAAGCCTGGCATGCTGTTGTGAAAAATCAGCAAATTAAATAAAAGGAAGTACATTGACATCACTTTCCTGGTGGGAGAATGGCAGGAATTTGTTTTCCAAAGAGGAAGGAATTTTCCACTGAAAAGGAAAAAAATGTTTGGTCCTAAAGTGTGCTTTCTTACTCGGTATATACGCACTATGTAACCAGTCTTGTCTGCTGCCGTTAGTGATGTTTTCCTGTTAGTCGTGCAGCGCCAACACAGTTTGCAGGATTCTGTTCCATCTTGTTCCATCAACAGCTTAACTAAGGGCATAGTTTGGATTATAAAACTGTTATGATTACTGCTGATAATGCAGGTGCAGGAAAGCACTTTCAGAGTCCAGGAGGAGTTGGTTGGGCTGGTAGGTACAGAGGCCTATCTTACATGTAAATTGAGCACATTTGATGAAGAAATCAGTTAGATACAATAGCCATGGACCACCACACTGCCACTTTTACACTCTTCAGAGTAGCGCTTCCCTTTTGAAGGGTATTAAACAGAGGAAAATACAGTGGGGTAGTTTGACATTAAGGGCACTGGAATAAGTAACTCTACACAGGCATTTGTAAGGGACCAGTGGAAACCTGGTGCCTGTAGAGATGAGTCTTTATTCCCAGTGATTGTTGTTAATATGCTGAATGGACTGGAAATTAGGATATTTTCCTCTTTCCCTTCACTGAGCCCTCTGGGGCTTATGTTATCTCTCAAAGCTTAAATAACAGTTTCAAATCCTTAAGTGAAAGATGCTATACATGTGCAAACTATTATTATTAAAAGGGGAGTTTTCTGAAGTAGTGTATGAGAATCTTATCTAAAAAAGCCTGAGGGTTTAAGTTCTAGTAGCACAAAGGCAGAATTGTCTCACGCTTAAACAGGGGGGCACTGAAGGTCAGGAGACACGAATTCTATTTTCATTCAACCCCTGACTTGCTCTGTGACAGTGAGGAAGTTGCATAACCTGTTTCCCCATCTGTAAAGTAACAAACCTCACACTGGATTGCATGGAAAGTCTCCCCTGTAAGTATAAAATATTATTAATGCTGCTATAGTAGCTCATTGGAAACAAAGAAGCTGGCAGGCTCCAGCAAAGCCATCTCAGCCTAGTTTCTTATGGCTTCATGGTCACTAGTTAAAAAGTAGATATAGCAAATAATGCTTCTTTCGAGAATACAACTTCAGCCTCTGGTTATATCTAGTCTCTGCTCTGCGTTGTTTTGATAAATAAATTATAATACATAATATCTGTTGCCAGCCCCTGTTTCTACAATAAGAGTATAAAGGTAAGGACCAACACCTATACTTTCACCTGGCCTCGGTTGAACCCAGGGAATTACAGACCAGTCATCTTAACTTCAGTATCTGGAAAGATAATGGAACAAGTAATCAATTTGCAAACACCTACAAGATAATAAGGTGATAAGTAACTGCATCGAGAACAAATTATGTCAAACCAACCTAATAGCTTTCTTTGACAAGGTAACAAGCCTTGTGGATAGGGGGAAGTGGTAGATGTAGATCTTGATTTTAGTAAGACTTTTGATACTGTCTCACATGACCTTTTCATAAACAAACTAGGGAAATACAGCCTAGATGGAGCTACTATAAGGTGGATGCATAACTGCTTGGAAAACTATTCCCAGAGAGTAGTTATGAGTGGCTCACAGTCTAGCTGGAAGGACATATTGAGTGGGGTGGTCAGCTTCTGTTCAGTATTTCATCAATGATTTAGATAATGGCTTCAAGAGTACACTTATAAAGTTTGTGGACAATACCAAACTGGGAGGGGTTGCAAGGGCTTTGGAGGACAGGATTAGAATTCAAAATGATCCGGACAAACTAGAGAAATAGTCTGAAGTAAAGAGGATGAAATTCAATGAGGACAAATGCAAAATACTCCAATCAGTTGCACACATACAAAATGGGAAATGACTGCCTTGGAAAGGGATCTGGGGGTTACAGTGGATCACAAGCTAAGTATGAGTCAGATATGAGTAACACTTGCGCAAAAAACCAAAAGCTATGTTAATTCAGAGCTAAGGTTGAGATTTTATTGACAATCTTGGAAACGGAGTTCAGCTCGGCAGCCTTAACTCTCCTGTTGTGTATGTATGCACTATGCCGGGTGGTCTCATTCCCTGGTCACCATTCACCACCTGTTTCTCTCAGCAATGCATTTTAGACAGAACAGTTCAAACTCCAACTTCATCAAGCATTGTTTTGCTGGCCACACAGCATGTGAATTCTGCTCAAGAGCATATACTCTAATGGTTAAATTATGATAATTAGCCAGAGTTGGAGTCAATATGATTTAACTAATTGTATGACAGTAGCACCACCTTGTGGCCCCAACTGAGTGTAGGACCCATGGCACTATACACACGCACAATCACAGACAGCCCGTACCTCAGACCTTAAAAATCTTCAATAGACAAGACAAAAGGTCAGATTTGCAAGATGTCAGACAGCAGGTCAGTGTCAAAGCCAGGAACAGAACCCTTATCTCCTGACTCCCAGTCCTGTGCCCTAACCACTGGCGTATACTGCCTCACAGTGGCATAGTATGGAGCCAGCACGGCCCCAGGGGAGCTCAGAGAAATGGTCTCTCATGTGGTACTTTCCCTTCTTAGCGCATCCTCGCCATACCCCCCGGGGTTCAGGTAGGAGCATGTATGCTGAAGCATCCCTTTGGATAGTGCAAAGTGCTCCCTGGCTAGTTGAGGAAGGTTGGACCACCCCACCCTCTCTGGAGCAACGTGTGGCCCTGCAGAGAGCTGTCCTTGTGTTCCTACAAGTGCAGAGATTGCGATTGTCCCTGGGTCTTGTGCAATATGCACAACAGATGTGGCAAGGCTCCTTTTTCTCTAGTCCTATTGGGGGAAGGGATAAATATGGCCCTAATGCTACATAAATGCAGCATGATTCTACATGTAAACTGTGTCTCAGTTTCACTCAGCAGAACACTCATGACAATTTGGGTCATGGTGTCAACCTCACTTGCCTCAGGCAAGTGAGAAGGATGAGTTGCCGTTTTCCTTGCCAGGAAACGGCAATAATATACTGAGGAAATCAGGCAATATAGGCATCGGAAAACTAAATGAAATGTACTAAATCAGCTTTCCTGATGTGAAAGCAGCAGCTCCTAGCCTCTGTGAAATCAGGGTGAATGAATGCACGCATCAATAGTATAGGTGACAATGCAACCACCAATCAAGGTTCCCCAAGCCTCATAGCATATGTCAGTGATACTAAAGCCAAAGCTGTCAAACTGTATGTGGTCTTCATCTTCCTAAAGCCAGCTGTCTTCTCAGGGTTGACTAAGGCACTGGATGACATCTGGAGACACAGACACGCAGAGTCAGCTGGCTTAACCTCTGGGTTAGTAGCCAACTAAGGTAAACAATATTATTGCCTTGCTATTTTAGCCAAATTCAGTAGGAGTGGGGAGAACAACCTAGGTTGGGCTCCTTTTGGATCAAGTCTTGTCTAAAATTATGAAGGCAGAAAACGTTACTTACTATATACAGCTAGATCCCAGAAATAACCTATTGTAAAAGGATGCTTTGTCTATCCCCAACTCAAGTCAGCACTGTTTGGCAATCTTCTTTTCAAGGTTCCTTCCACGTGGACTCTAGAACCCAGAAGAGATCAATTTTATTAGCAATAGTAAGATTACAGTAGAGCATAGAGGCACTGTGCAAAGAGATAGTAAGAGACAGTCCTCTGTCCTGAAGAGCTTACAGTCTTAACCAGGGATAGGCAACCTGCGGCACGCGAGCTGATTTTCAGTGGCACTCACACTGCCCAGGTCCTGGCCACCGGTCCGGGGGGCTCTGCATTTTAAATTTAATTTTAAATGAAGCTTCTTAAACATTTTAAAAACCTTATTTACTTTACATACAACAATAGTTTATTAGATATTATAGACTTACAGAAAGAGACCTTCTAAAAACGTTAAAATGTATTACTGGCACGCGAAACCTTAAATTAGAGTGAATAAATGAAGACTTGGCACAGCACTTCTGTAAGGCTGCCAACCCCTGGTCTAAACAGACAAGACAGATGAAGGGTGGGAGGAGAAACAGGCACAGATGAGTGAAATGACTTGCCTGAGGTTGCGCAGCAAATCAGAAATAGAATCTTGGTCTTCGGAGTCCCAGGCCCATGGATCCTGCTGAGTCTTTTCTGCAAATGGAACTTGTAGTTGAGCAGCAGAACTGCTTCAGCTGCAACATATCCTCTTCCTTGAAGGACAACCTTAAGGCGGCAACTGGTGGCTGAAGTACCCTTAGTTAGAGAATCTGTATTTTTTGTTTGTTTGTTTGTTTTTTAAATAAAAAGGGTTAGTGCTGTTATGGGAGGTTTTAAAAATTTCATTAAACTTCTTCAGTAGCTGGGGTATTTTTGAAAGCACAGCTTGAACACTCATCGCACTGAAGACAAGAAAGACATTCAAAAGGAAGTATGCTAATGGGGCAACACCTTTTTATTTCTGTACATTTACATACAAAGTTTTTCAGTAGGTACAACAGATGTAACATCATGCAGACATTTAGCTTGTAAGACTGTTTTCAGTACTTGATTTAAGCTTGTGCTATGAATAAGCACCACCAGACTACTCATGATCAAAACATACAGTAACACGATTCTTTAATAAAACTTCATCAGAAACTGAGGGGAGGGAGGGAAGTCTCACCCACTAGACATAAACACACTGTACTCCTTTCCCAAGACATTTCACACAATACAATTAAAATGAGGATTAATTTTTTTTAAGTTAAAGTGTGGGAGATCAACCCGCACTTAAGTGTTGTCTTTGTGTGCTAACTACAGGTGCAATTTGACTTGACATTCACAGAGTTCATTTAATGGCACTTCTGCTTCCAATTTGGTGATCTTTAGCATTTGGCTCCAGGAAGTGGCATCATTTAAGAAAAATACTTCCATGTTAAAACAAAACAAAACCAAACCAAAACAAAAAAACCCTGCTTAACCAAAACAACATTTTTCAAAAGTGGCAAAGAGATTACATGGTTTTCCTCGTCTTATCTATTTTCAGTGTGTTTGGCAACAGAAACATTGCTGAAAAAAACACCCCATAAAATGATCAAGTGTAATGCCATTTTCACATTCTGTTTAAAAATTCTGAAAACAAAAAACAAAACACGTCCCTTAAATGGTAACTAAAAACCCCACTAGTGGGCTAGAATAACTGAGGGCTCATGGAAAGAAATGGGCCTAAATGGACAGCAAAGCTTTGAATGCTTTCCTTGTTGCATTGGCTGGGAACAGTAGTCATCTGAGAAAAATGTTTCCTTTGCTCTGTGGAGAACCTGGATTGAGAAGCTTATGGCTTGACAGACAGTTGTTAAAAAACTGCCACAGTACCCAACTGTACAAAGAACCGGACAGAACACAGTAGGAAACTGATGTTTGTTTATAGCCTCCTGCCCTGCTGTATCATTTAGTACCTGTCTGTCTCTCCCCAGAAACTTTCCAGCCTCAGATAGCCATCAGCTTTTGTGGAGTGTAATATCTTTTTAAAAAACAGGCTTTCATCCTCTCAAATGAGCTATAACAGAGCTACAGAGACAGACTATTACTTAATGTTTTGGCCATGACTGAGCCAAGCAAACCATAGGTGTTGGGACCTCATTTCAAAGGACTAGTACCAAATGCCTCATCTCAGGCAAATTAAAAAACAAAACAAAATACAGAAGTAAATTTCACAAAAATTGCCAAGTGCTCCTGTCACCTAATGTATTTATTTCTTATATAAATAGGCAGATATGTTTAAACAGTTCTTTTTCCTGGGACTGTTTGTAATGAAAGAGCAAACACCAGAATAGGAAACTATAAAGTGCTGTGGACAATAGAGATGACACACCAGGACCATAACAGTGCTAAATGCAATCCGTCTATTAGGCTTGTGAAAGGTCTACATGATTTGTACTGTAGCCTGAATATATTTGCACAGAGACCATGAACTAAAAAGCGGTTCTATGGTATATGGATTGCAAGGTGCTGCGTAACAGCTCTGAGTCTGTGTGCATGCCCGATTTCAAACAATCCTCTGCTCTCTCTATTGCTCTCCTGTGTCAAGGCCCCCCTCCCTGGATTATTATTTGTTTTACTTTCTAGATTTTGATATAAACCCACTTTTCCTGATATGTGGCTTGTAACAAGCTTCATATAAAAGGCAAAAGGTATTACACAAATTTGGCACATGAATACTGCACAAACCGAAAGGCCTTATTTTCGAGGTGAATGCAGACTGCAAAAATCTGAACGCAGAACAAAACGAAGGAGAGGTGGCCACTTTCAAACCGTACAGTAACTAGAGATGTTTAGAGAGTGTAAGAAAAATTGGTCTGTTGCTGTCACAGCAAGTCTAACTAAGGTGAAAACAATAGCGTAACTCCAGGCAAAATTACCATCAACTGGTCCAGTGTTTCTTACGTGGCTCAAAAAGAACCTAAATGTCCACATCCTCTGTACAAAAGTTAGCAGCTTTAGGACAACATTGATTTTCCAACCACAACAATCTTTGTCACTTCTCCAGGTCTGCTCGTCCTCTTGCACTCATCAGCATCTGTGGCTGTGTAGCTTACTACACTACTCACAGTCTTGCTGATTTTGTGTGGGTTACAAGAGGACAAAGGCAGCCTAATGGAGGATGTAAGTAGTAGGTACAGTAGTTAACAGACAATATATAGAGCAAAAGAAGGGGTAGGGAAGAAGAGGAAAGTGCAGATTAGCCTTTCCATGCCTATGAATGCAAGATGTCCATCAAACAAAGTGGCAATCATATGGATGCTCAATACAACATTACATATCCTGCTGCTCTGTTCATTTAAATGGCTGTACCACTGGGCAAATCAAAAATGCATGGCCTGAGTGAATAAGGTAAGGAAGGTAGTGGTGGGGCAATTGTTAATGATGCAAAAAAGCTTTTAAGCTCAGAATGTTCTTGTATTAACTAGATCCGTAAGACATTCACACAACAAGAATCAAAATCTGATGGCCAATGCAAATCTGTTGCTGGCTTGGGGACTGGAAGGAGGAGGTCACCTGGCTATTATCAAGTAGCCATCTTTACAATAAATGAAAGATTTGCTTCTTACTTTACTAAGCAGAGGCATTTTAAATTACTTTAATCAAACAAATGATCCTATAGTATTTTTTTTTTTTTTTTAAAGGGAGAGTCTAGAAGAGCACATTTTTGGTGGGATTAAGGTGGCAGTTCATTGTAAATTCTTGGGTCAGAAATAGCAAACAGGAGACAGCAAAATATATAGTAATCACAATTCTGGCTTGGACAGGAGGTTTTAAAAACGTATAATTAAAGATGACCCATTTCATAGGGAGTGCCCTCTTGACCTCTATTTAAGTAACATTTTAAACAGCCCTTTCGTTTTCCCCCCCCATCTTCAGTATTTATTCAAATAATCAATTCATTCCCTTTTATTCTAATAAAATAAATTTAAATAAGAACAGGCTTTAAACAGTTAGGGCATGCAATGTCACAGCTCTTGTACTAGTGGAAATTTCAGCTAAACTCCCTTTTGGAGCAAGCAATTCAGATTGTAGCCAATACTCCTACATTTTGTCTCCTTTAACCAAAAATATTCTCTGGAACACTAGGATACAGATATTGAACCTCCTGTTAGTTAAAACCATTCTTGGTAAACCTAATTTTACCACTGGTGGTCAATTCATTTCAGTTGTTTATATTATTATTAATCACTTGCAGGAAATCTCTAAAAGAGCTGAATGTGATATTTAAAATGTAGAAGGCTGATCCTGATTGAAAAACTAAGCTAGTTTGTGTAGTATTTTGCTGACTGCTTTAACTACAGTAAAAAAAACAACTCTAATTTAGAAAATAACTTTTAAATACATATGGGGACACTATCAAAACCTAATTTACGCTAAATAAAATGCAGCCAGAGTTTGACTCACAACAGGTTTTTTGTTGTTTGTACAAACAGAGCAGGCAACCTGGGGGATTTGACTTTCTAGACAGGCAGAACTAATGTTGCTCTAGCCTAAGTTTCAGTGGATTCAGCTTTGCAGCAGAGATACCTCTTTCCTTTAACAAAACACAAAAACAAAAATGAAAACAAAAAACATCACACCATTTCTTTTTTGGAATGGCTGCACCTCCTGAAATAAGATGGCTTCATTCATGTGATCAATGAAAAGGGAGTAAAGTGCTTCTTTAAAATGATAATCAAAATAAATATAAACATTTAATTCCAGGAAAAGAAAGTTTGGAAGGGTTATCTCCGGCCAGTTCTTTTCTCAGATGCGTTATTTCCCCCCATAACCTTTTCAAAAGTAATTTGTACACCAGTTGAAGATTCCTACAATAAGTGGCTTTAGCAGCAGAGCTGAATTCCCCCATGTATCCATCTGTTCCATTACTGGTCTGCAAACCCGTGCAAAATGCCCCCACCCAAAGTGCTCCTTCTCCCAAAAAAATAAAATAAAATAAAAAAATCTGCCCAGTTACATCCCATTGGCAGTGGTATTCTCGGACACCCCGTCGCCCACAGCTGACGAATCGTGGAGGCCAGAGTAATCCTTGAGTTCAGAGTTTGTCAGAAGCAGGGGCTGCTCCCCTTTCTTGTGTGGCAGGAGGGGCTTCCTGGTGTAGTGTTCGCCGTCTGGGATGTTCTCAGGCAGGTTTTGGTTCTTGCTCTCCGGCAAGAGAAGAATACAGATGATGCAAATGAGCGTACAGCAGGCAAAGATCACATGGTGCAGAAAGTAGCCTTTCTGGTTATGAAGCTCCATTATAGGTGCAGTCAGCATACCAAAGCCTGCACTGGCCAGGACAAGTCCGAGTCCACCTCCCCTACAAAGACAAACAGTCTCAACACATACAGAATATAGCAGCTATGTATTTGAAAAAACAAAAAACAAAAAACACTTCAGCGAAAGATTGAAAACTTTCCTTTTGGTTTATTTTCTGGAATCAAAGTTACTTCACAAAGAGCGGAGCAGTATGTAAAATGAGGACATTACCCAAGCACTGGCTGCAGAGGTCAGCAAAGCTTACATCCTCATTCTCAAAACATGACCACTGTGCCTATACCAGCCACCTGATCCATTCCTAACTGAACTGAAGTGCAGATGGCTCAGGCATGGGCTGCACTGGGCGGGGGGGGGGGGGGGGGGCAGCACGCGGGATCCATCTAAGTTACGCAACTTCAGCTATGTGAATAACATAGCTGAAGTCGACGTACTTAGACATACTCACCACGGTGTCTTCACTGTGGTGAGTCGACTGCTGCCGCTCCCCCGTTGACTCTGCCTGCGCCTCTTGTGGCAGTGGAGTACAGGAGTCAATGGGAGAGCCTCGGGGGTCGATTTATCACATCTAGACTAGACGTGATAAATCAACCCCCATTGGATTGATTGCTGCCCGCCGATCCGGCGGGTAGTATAGACATACCCTTAGTGTGTCCACGTTCACGTTTGAACTGTTGCTCCTTTGGCCCAGGCTCACCCCAGAGCTGTTATAAACTTTCTCACTTGCAATGCTCTCCAGGTACCTGAGCCGCAATTCCCAGCACAGCTTCCAGCAATGATGGATTCCAGCAGATTGTGAAAGGTCTCCTGTGCACTGTGGGACAGGGGTAGGGGGACTACTTGAACGGCTTCAGTCTGAACCGATTCAGTGCTGCCCACACTGTCACTAAACTGATGCAGGCTGAAATGGTTCAGCCTAAACTAACGCTTGGCCCTACTGAAAGCAAGTCTAATCCACGCCGTATTTCACACACATGTCAAGTACCTGGAGCATTGTTGTGCGTGGTCACAATGGGCATGTCTGTGCTGTGGAAATTTTCTAACTGGTTTTAACCCTATTAGAGCCATCGTGTAGACCAGATTAGATGATTTAAGGCAGTCTGCCCTGCTTTTACAGAACCAGAGTCCAATGTGATCTTGACAGCGTTTCATTAAAAGTGGGTCAGGCCAGTCTATACTTAGTCCACACTATGGCTCTAAATTATTTTAAAAACAGGCCTGATTACACACAGTTATGGTACTGGTTTTGCTAGGGGGGGTGACTGTTTACTGAAATAGTTCTACAGGTACAGCTCCTAGCAGGGATGCAGTTATATGGCTATAAATTGCTTTACTCTAGGATTGTTTATTCCCAATCCCACACGGGAAGAGTCTATTCCTGGTTTTGCCACTGGCCTGCTGGGTGATTTTGGGAACTTCACTTAACTTCTCCGTGTCTCAGTCTCCTCATCTGTACAATGGGGATAATGGTATCTCACCAAATCAATTCCCTGCCATTGCAGGAGCCTCAGGCATTGGCGCACCTCAGTCCCTCTATTCTCTGCCTATGGCACACAATAGTATCTGGAGGGATGGAATAATTCAGTCTAATGCAGGTTATTCAGCTCATTGTAGTGACAACTGGGCGAGGTTAACGGCTTGTGATGTGCAAGTCAATCAAGATGATTTGATGGTCCCTTCGGGCCATAAGTCTATGACTCTATAGTGACCTCCTTTGTAAAGCAGTTTGAAATCTACTATAAAAAAATACCTTTATACCAGCATACCTTTGTCCACAAGAAGGGGGTGGGGTGGTGAGGCTGTACCCATTATAATTCAAGTGGTACAACTTGTGTGTGTAAAAAACTCTAGAAATTTCCCCCACGTAGACATGTCCAATCATGCTACAGAAACCACACTTCCCTTAGCATGATAAATATCTCTAGTTTAGACAAGACCAAAGAAAGCCCAGTAACAAATAACAGGTGCATTATTCAGTGTAGGGGAGGGCTTTTGCTGCCTCTGCAGTATTTTATATGGGCCACTGATGGAGACACGATATTAGATTTGATCTGCTATAAGAAATACTAGGTTCTGAAATCCCTCTTCTATAAAACGCTGTGCTGTTGGAGGCAAATACTTGGACAGTCAGAAAATATAGATTTTTTTTTTTTTTTTTTATAAAGAGCACTGTCTAGTGGTCAGAACAGGGGACAGGAAATCAAGAGTTGTTCGTGACTGTGAGATTTTGGGCGAGTCACGTAGGGAAGTTGAGGCAGACCAAAGTTATCTGAAACATGGAGATAATACCTACCAAGGGTGTTGTGAATGTTAATTAGCATTTCTGAAATGTTTTGAGATTACAAAGAGGTACTTTTATTAAGCCAAACCATTGTTATAAATAATTCATTAAAGTATAACGAACACTGGCATATACTTAGGCCTGGTATACACTACACTGTTAGATTGATGTAAGGCAGCTTCTGTCGACTTAATTATGTCAGTGTCTACACTACAGCTTTATCCTGCTGATATAAGGACTTGTCTACATTACCCGCTGGATCGATGGGCAGTGATCGATCCAGTCTAGTCTAGACGCAATAAATCGACCACCCAGCGCTCTCCCATCGACTCTGGTACTCCACCAGGGCGAGAGGCGCAGGCGGAGTCGACGGGAGAGTAGCAGCCGTCAACTTACCGCAGTGAAGACACCACAGTAAGTAGATCTAAGTACATCAACTTCAGCTTTGTTATTCACGTAGCTGAAGTTGCGTAACTTAGATCAATCCCCCCTCCCCACCGCCAGTGTAGACCATGCCTAAGTGCCCTACTACACTGACATAACTCCACCTCCATGAGAGGCATAGCGCTTATGTCGATGTAGTTAGGGAGAGACAGTGTCTGTAAACACTGCATTACTTACTTTGTCTGTTAGCTCTCTTGTCAATTTCACAGCTCCAGCTAGAGCCCAGCTCTTCAGCCTGGGAGCTGGGGCGAGAAGCCCTGGGCAGATGGACCACACTCCCGGCAGGGAACAGGGGGTGGGGAGCAGTCTGCTGGGATCCCAGGAGCTTGTGGGGCAGCCAGGCTTCCAGCAAGGAGTTACCAGCAGAGCAGAGAGACCAGGCTCTCAGCTCCCCACACTGCCCCTCTTAGGTCGGTGGAAGTGCTCCTGGTGAGGACATGCACCACTGATCGAAAGTAGAGTAGTTTAGACATGCACCAATGGCTCTAAGTTGACCTAATATAACTCGACTTAAGTCTTTGGTGTAGAGGTGATTACACACCTTAGATTACACACAAAAAAACACCGTAAAATAAACCCTATTTAGGTTGCAAAGTCAAATACTCAGAAGTTAGGAAATATCAGAATTAAAGGTACCTGGGCAACCTTAATTCAGTCCCTTTTTGTGTAATCATTATGTTACAGTCATGAATTACATGATCACATTTTATTGTTTTCATAGGACCCCTGCCTCACTCAGTGCACAGAATGATAGCGCTCACTGAATGAGCAGCTCTTCAAAATTTTGTTTTCTCCTCACTGTTCAGCGTATGGGCCACTCCTCCTTATTCAAACCCAGCTCTGAAGACCATTTTAAAGTTCCTCATGGGCTTTTCTATAGCGCTCATCACAAGGCTATCTGAGGGCTCCACAAACATTAAATGTTGTGAAAATAAATCACAACACCCTTGTGAGGTGGGGTGGGTCATTATCCTCATTTTAGTGATGGGGAATTACAGCACAGAGAGACAGGTGCCGACTTTCCAATGTGCTGGGGGGTGCTGGACCCCCGGCTCTGCCCCAGGCCCTACCCCCACTCCACCCCTTCCCTCAAGGCCCCACCCCCACCACACCTCTTCCTGCCCCACCTCTTCCCACCTCCGCCTCTGCCTGCCCAGTTCCGCTCCCTCCCCACCAGAGCCTCCTGTATGCCATGAAACAGCTGATTGCAGCGGGCAGGAGGCCTGGGGAGGGAGGAGGAGGTGCTGATTGTGTAGGGCTGCCCAGCGGGTGGGAGGTACTGGGGGAGGAGGGAGAGCTGATAGGGGGGCTGCCACCTATGCAGAGAGATTAAGATAAAAAGTATACACTAATTTTGATTGCCCGATCTGAGACACTTAGGACCTGATCTTTCAGAATAATTATCCGTACACAGCACTTCATATCTTCAAAGCACATCTCCCACTGACTTCAAGTGCAGCTGTGAATGCTCAGCATGTCTGCAAATCAGAACAAACCCCTTAGGCCCATTTGAAAATTCCAGCCCTACAGCCTGGGTAGAATGGCTGTTCCAGATGCAGATGGATTCCCTCAGGCACTTTTCTCTGGCCTTGGCTACACTTGGGAGTTGGCAGCGCTGCGAAGCGCGAGTGTAGTTGTGCCGCCAGGGCTGCGAGAGAGCTCTCGCAGCGCTGTATGTACACGAGCGAGCGTGCAGCGCTGCAGGCTCTGATTACACTGGCGCTTTACAGCACTGTACTCACTGCGCTCAGGGGGGTGTTTTTTCATACCCCTGAGCGCAGCAAGTTGCAGCACTGTACACCGCCAGTGTAGCCAAGGCCTCTAACAGCAGCTTTGACCCTCAGCAGTTGTTCCCAGGACTGGTTTCACCTTACAATGGGTGCTCAATGCAACAACAACAACTTTAGGTTCTCCCTCAGGCTACTGGATAGGGCTCATTTGTCCCCTGCCTTGAGACCCAGGAGCAGGTTTCCCAGTACCTCCCATTTTCTTTTGCACTTTTCTCTGCTGTGCTCCCTCACCCTCATTCTTAGCACAGAACTCAGTCACCTGTCAGCCACAGCTTCCGTGTCTGTGGGACTCCACTACTGCAGCAGCATGATGATCTCAGGACCCATAACGCTCTCTGTGGTACCCTTTCAAGGCCTGAAACCTGCATACTGCCCCATTACATTTAAATTCTGCTTCCTTGGTGCACAGACAGTACTTTCCTGTGAGTCAACATGTTCCAGTCGTCCCGGTGCTCAATTTCCTCCCTTTTCCACACAACTAAAACTTCAAATTCGGTGGTAATCTGCACTGCTACACTTTTTATTACC